CAAATACTGCCAAACAGCTTGTTGCTGCAACATCTGGGAATGAGTCCTTTTATTTAAAACAGCCAACATAAGCTTCCAAGCCAGGGACTGGTCATTCAGGGGAAGCCGAGGGAAGAGATGTCAGGCTTCATCACCTAGTTGACATCCTCTGCAGCCTGAGGACGGAAGCAGTACCCATCTGTCCATGTGGCAGTGAAGACCCGGGAGCCTCAGCGCTCTTGTCCCAGCACGGTGCCATCCGCTACAGAATGTTCTTTGCGATTGCGTTCAGGGTCCTCACTTTGGCCACATCTGCCACCTTTATGGAGTATTCAGGGGCAGAGAAAGACGCTCCCATGGCAACATTCGGATTTCTGTCAGGAAAACCACTGGTTACTATCTGCAGATGAGTAAAACACACTAAGAAAAACCCACTATTTCCCCTAGTCTCAGCAGTGGACAGAGAACCTGCTGGTGCCACCCAAACCAAAGATGAGACAGTAACAGAAAGAAAAAAATAAACCAAAGGCAAGAAACAAGAGCGTCAACAGAAAGCCATTGCAGACCTGTGGACAAATGTAAGCCATTCCTCACCCATTCCTCAGAGGCACACCCCACTGGCCTCCCAAATCCTACATGCTTGTGGTCAAAGGTCTAAAGCAACTACACCAAAACCTGCCTTCCCAAGCGCCACACAAGCGCACTCACAAGCCCTAGGGCAGCAGTAGCAGAAGAAATGCCCCAAGGATCCGGTTCTGCATGGAGCTCATGTCCAGATGATGAGCACTGCTGGATTCATACACTGCAGAATACAGAGCCGGGCACTGTGATCCCAACCACAAGAGCACAATTAGCACCCAAGAAGCTGCTTGAGATTTATGCTTGTTCTACAAACTTGTGTTCACATTAATCCAGGTTTTCCCTTGTACAGCTTTGCTAAGAAATAAAAATAAATAATCACTTACCTGAACTTCATCCCTGAGTCCCGAGCTGAGCGAGCAGAGCAGTGAAACTCAGAAGCAGTGGAGCCTTCCAGAATCCTCTGCAGGTTGCGCTCTGTGATGCCACCTCCTGGTGGAAAGAATCCCGATGTCACATCCAGCGCAGATGGCACTGTCCCAGACCTGACATCACCCCGGGACCTACCCCCCTAAGGGACAAGCACCATCTACGCTGAAAAGACATCCCCTGGAACAGAGACCAAGGCATGTGAAAAGAAATGGGAGAAGCCTTGGCTCCTGTTCTCCCACAGATCTAGAGCCGTCCCCAAATCCTCCAGTGAGCAGCATCTGCAGGGCTCTGCCATCCCCCAGCTGGTTGTGTGGCCTTTACTCACACCAGGGCAGGAGCATCTCCTCCTGGGAACCTGGCCCAAAAGCCAGATCAGAGTGTGCATTCCAGGACAAGAGGCTAGGAAGCAGGGGCTAGGGACTACAGGACCTGTTATAGATAACAAAAAAAATTACCTGGCACCACCACAATTCTGCCCTTCGCCTGAAAGTAGAGTAACATGTTAGTGATATTGCTCAGCACTACACCTGCACATGCATTTGTGGGGCAGCAAAGAAACCTTACATGCAGCGCCTTCCGTAAGCTCACAGGTGTCACCATGGCTTATGATTTGCGCGCTCTCACCCATCTTTTTTGTAGTATTCATGTTTTACAAGGAAAAATGGAAAATAATTCTCAGCTACAGCTAAGACAACTTCTCACCATTCCCTTCTACCTCTCTAGCCCATCTGGCTACCTCTCAGGTACATCTGCTGCATTTTCCTAACAGGAACTGTGAGATGCCCATCACGGACCTCACTTTGCTGTTTGCATGGGCTAATTGCATCAGCTGTTGAAACCAACTCCCACTGCTCTCCTCCCAGTCTGCGAGCAAGAGCAACCCAACCAGGCTCTGCTGTGGGTGACTCTGGGGTCCAGCCTGCGTAGACTTGGGAAAAGAGATTAAGGCCAAGCCGGAAAGGGTGGGCAAGTGCTCCTTGACAGTTCTCTTACAGAAAGGAGGCCGCCTACCATAAAAGAACTGCCCCCAGGCAATGCCCAGGAAGCAGCCACGGTAACCCAGGGGAGCACAGGGAACACTTACCTGTTCTGCAAGCCTCTTAATTAAGGACAATCCTTCCAGCGCTGAGCTGTCACAGCCGCTTGTCAACACCCGCTCAAACCCCAGAGAAATCAGGGTCTCCAGTGCCACCAGGGGGTCATGCACCATGTCGAAGGCTGCGAGACCAATGCAGCCACTCAGAAATCACAGCTCATCATGCTCAAGCCCTGTTCCCCAGCCAGCTCAGGAGCCCAGGAAATTATGATAGAAAGGGTCCTTCTCACAACTGGTCACCCCCCCAGGGAGCCACAGCTCCTGACTATAATGTCCCCTCACAGCAGTGGCAGGGCCACCATGCTCAGCTCCTCAGACACCTCCACTCCACACAGGGCAGCGACACAGCCCTCACACCTGCATCCCCTCCTGGGAGAACAGCACAGCCACAGCCTGCAGAGCTTTACCTCTCTCCAAAGAGCAACCAAAGTTCATTAAGCTCAGCTCCCTCCCAGCCCCAACTTCCCCTGGCAGCAGTGCAGAGGCTGGTCCCTGCAAGGGCCACAGTCCCCCGCAACTCACCTCGGTGAAATGTGACTGGCAGGGGACGGCACACCGCTGCAACAAGAAAACACATGGTTAGTCAGGGCTGGTACAGAGAGTGCCTTGAGCTAGAACCATACAGCCCGTGAGATAAAAGGGGGCAAAGGCTTCTTGGACCCTTCCTGGGGAGCTCAAAAGAGTCCCAGTACTTGCTGGGAACAACACAGCTCCTGCGCCTTGGCCAGGCTCTTTGCCAGGAAAGAGTTCTGCCCTTTGAGGAAGCTGCAAACCTTTGTTTTTATGAGTAACACCAAAATCCCTCATCTCGTCTGGATCATGCAGTACCCTCATTCCCACCAGAGATGTCTTTCTCTGCAGAAAGGAAGTAGGGAAGTTGTATCATCTACCTGGGGAAGGGACAGGACCAGTGCTCTTTGAATGCAGGAGAGCTGAATTTTGTTATTTCTTTTACTACCTACAGTTTCTGCTCTCAGACCACTGCAAAACTTCACCATTTATTATGAAAAGAAATTCAACTGCCTCCTGCCTTGGAAACACTAGTTCCAGCAGAACACCTCATTGCTCTAGTGGAGGCAAATCCTGGCAAGACCCCTTTCTTCTGCTGCACTCCCTACAGCACCTTCACCTTCATATGAGAATCTCAGCACCACATCTCCAGGGAAAGGCTCAGACCTCTTTAGCTTTGGCTGTAGCTCACAGAGAAGATATGGAAACAAATTATCTTTCTCTCTGCATGTTACAGGTCTGGACTAACAATTTCCCACTGCAGCTTCAGTGGCCTTTGGTGTGTTTCTACCTCTCTCTCACTGTCTTTTCTCACTGGGTATGTTAGATGAAAAAATGAAGATGAGTTGCCAGCTACCCACAAGGCCAAAGGCCCGGAGAGATGTATCCTAGACACCTGTGGCAGGGATGTAAGGAAAAGAACAAAGGAAAAAAAAAAAAAAAAAAAAAAAAAAACGAAGAAGGGAAAGAATTCAACAATTTAATATTCTGATGGCCCCAAAGCAACCTCTCTCCTTCTTAGACCCTACTATTATGTCCCAGGTGGCCTCAAACTCTGTGTGAACTGCTTAGGATAATGGTCCTTGGTTTGCAGAGCTTTTTACTTATTTGACACCTCACAGGTATGACAACACATGAAACTAGAGAAGGCAGAGAGAGATGGCAAGGCCACAGGCAAGACATGCAGACCAAAGCACCCTGCGCCGTTCCTCCTACAGCATCGGACCACGCAGCTCTGAACTCCCGGCCCCAGCCCAGGTATTGCACAGAGCTCAGCACCACGTTTCTGACTGGAGACACCCTTACCCAGCAGCGCTGTGCAGAGCTCTGTATCGATGCGCCCATCCTCGGTGAGGGCCCCGAACACCAGCCCGTCAGCCCCGTGCAGCTTGGCAAGGCGGATATCAGCTTTCATCACCTCCACCTCCCGGTCCGAGTAGAGGAAATCGCCGCCGCGGGGCCGGATCATCACGAACACGGGGACCCGCACGCACTGCTTCACCACCTGCAGGAGTCCTGGGGGGGCGGGAGGGAGAGGGGCAGCTCAGCTCCGCGCTGCGGCAGCTCCAACCACCGGGGGAGGGGTGCACGGGGCATGCGGGGGCGCCAGGCTGTCGGGAGGAGGACGAAGGGAGAGGGGAGAGGGAAAGAAGGAGCTCAGGAGGGTGCGCCGGGCCCGCTGAGCCACCCGGGCGCAGGGGGGCGGCCCCGGAGGCGGGGGAGGACCCGGGCCGCCGCGGGGCGGGGGCGGGCGAGGCTCACCCATGCTCGGGGTGGTCCCTCCTTCCACGAGGCCCGCGCACAGCTCGATCCGGCCGGCACCTGTGGGGAGGCACGTCAGAACCGGCCCCGCCGGGCCCCGCCGCGCTGCCGCCCCCCTCCCCCGGGCCTTACCTCCGCGCTCCGCGTTCACGGCGGACTCCACTGAGTCCACGCACACCTCCATGAGGAAGCCATCGTCCATGCCTGGGGGAGAACGGCACCGTCAGCCCGTCCCGCCCCATGGCGGCCGCCCTGCCCTGCTCCGCGCCGCCGCCGCCGCCACCGCCACCTGCCCCGCCCCCGCCCCACTTCCGCCGCAGTCCCCGCCCCCTTCGCGCCCGCTTCCGGCCGCGCCCCCTCGCGGCCCGGGCCCGCGCCGCCCGCGGGCGCGAGGGCGGACGCGCGAGGCGGGGTGGTAGGGGGGGGCGGTGGAAGGCGGCACGCCTCGCCCGCGCGCAGCGGCGGAAGCCCCGCCCTCCCCGCCGCCGCAGCCCCGCCCCCGCCCCCGCCCGGGCCCCGCCCCCGCCTCACACGCGCCCTCACCTGCGCTGGCGGCGCGCGGGGGTCGCTGCTGCCTCTCGGTCACGTGCCGGGGATTGTCATGGTGACGCCCAGGTGTGTGTCCGGAAGGGCTCGCCAGGCTTCCGGCGGCGCGCGCGCCGCTTCCGGGGTCACGCGGGATGCTGCGGGCAGCGCGCGGCGGCGGGCTCCGGCTGCTCGCTCGCGGCGGGGGCGCTGCCGGGGGCCGATGGGGGCTGGCACCGAGACCTGGACCGGGACCCGGACCCGGGCTCGTCCCCGCCGCGCCGGGCCCCGCCGGTCTCCCTCCGCAGCGGCGGCTCCTACGACAGGCGCTCTCGCCCGCCGCGGCCCCGCCCGCCGTGGGGCGGTGGCTCCTGGCATGTAGCGGTGCCGTGGCCGGTGCCGTGGTGCTGGGCGGCGTCACCAGGTGAGCGCCGCGTGTCCCGCCCCGGGGCTGCGGAAGGGGCTAGAGGCTGGACGGAAGCAGCGGTCCCCGCCGCGCGTCCCGCCGGTCCCCCGACCTCGCGGCCCCACGCCAGGGCCCACCCCGACTGCGCCTGTGGGAGCTCCCCTCGTGTCTTTCCCCCTTCCTGGCTGCAGGGGGGGCAGGGCGGGGAGTGCCAGAGAGACGCTGCCCGCAGTGCGTTGATGCCAGCTGGGGATAACTTTATCTCACGCGTTTTTGGTGATTCTAGCTCTGTTTGATCACTCACAGGCTCCCTGGTTTCCACCCCGTTCCCAACTGTCAGTTTAAGGGTTGTCTGGTGCAGCCAACAGCTCTCGTTTGGGTTTGGTAGCTTTGCATACTGCCAGGGAGAGAACTGTGCCTGCTTGTGTCCCCGCTCCCAGGCTGACAGAATCGGGCCTTTCTATGGTTGACTGGCACTTGGTGAAAGAGATGAAACCCCCGAGGACGCAGCAGGAGTGGGAAGCCGAGTTTCAGAAGTACCAGCAGTTCCCAGAGTTTAAAATGTGAGCATGCTGAAGTGGAGGGAGGGTGGGCTGGGAGCATCCCTCCTGCAACTGAGCCACTCAAGGAACCCTCTTAAGAAGGGAAGTGTTTTCTAACATCACTAGGAAGGCACACACAGCCTTTCTGATGGTGGCTCCTTCGCCATCGCTTCCTTTCTCTGAGCAATTTGATCCCTTGTTGCACAAAGTACAGCACAGGACTGCTGCATCACATGAAACAGTGTTTTGTTTTAACTGTCTTTAACAGTCTGAATCATGACATGACGCTGACAGAGTTCAAGTTCATTTGGTACATGGAATATTCGCACCGTATGTGGGGCCGCGTTGTGGGTTTGGCCTACATTCTGCCCGCTGCCTACTTCTGGCGAAAGGGCTGGCTCAGCCGCCCCATGAAGGGCTGCATCCTGGCACTCTGCGGGCTGGTCTGCTTCCAGGTGAGCGAGCTCTGTAGCCGCAGGGATTAGCGGCAGCACCTCCTGTGAACATCTGATTGAGCATAGTTGAGAGAGTGGGATTTGTGGAAACTTGGGTAGTGTCAGTGCTGGTAGCTGGTTGAAGGTGGAGGAGACAAGTCGCTTTGCCCATAATGTTTTTTGAGTCTTAGCAGTTGCCACTGCCCTGTCCGGCTCTAACTACTCACCTGTTTTGTCAGGGACTGCTGGGATGGTACATGGTGAAGAGCGGGTTGGAAGAGAAGCCGGACTCTTATGACATTCCTCGGGTCAGTCAGTACCGTCTTGCAGCACATCTCGGCTCTGCACTGGTTCTGTACTCTGCTAGCCTGTGGACAGGGCTGTCTGTGCTGCTTCCGCAACACAAGGTACGGAGTGGTGTGTCAGGAGTCAAAAGCGCAGGATAGTGTCAATTCACAGGGTTGAGGGTGTGATGTGAAGGGCGAGGAAAGGGTGTGAAGGGTGACGGTGCTTCCGTTCTAGTCTCTGTTCCTGACTGATCTAATACTACATTACAAAATACTCTTTCTGTAAACTTCTTGATTATGGGACGTTTCCTTTGACTTGTGCTGTTCTGCTCAAAAGCGATTAGTCTCAGAGTTTGTGCAAGCTCAGACAGGGGTGTGCCGGGCTGGACTAAGTGGTTTGTGCCAGTAACCGTCCAGTGGCCACTTCAGTGTCTGTACAGGTTAGAATTGATTAGTTGTGTTTTTGAGGAACCACTGAGGTGTGACTGTGTTGAGTGATGGTCTCTAGATTCCTCCTGTAAAATACAGGCCAACCACTTGGCCTCTATATGGAGAGAGGGCTTTCCTTACCTGCTTCAAACAGCACTGGAGGTACTTTGCCGTGAATATTTCAATTTTTTTGTTTGTATTTTACAGTTACCTGAAACCCATCAGCTCCTTCGCTTGAGACAGTATGCTCATGGCACCACAGCTCTCATTTTTCTTACTGCTCTTTCAGGTAAGACTATTTCTCTCTGCTGTCCCATCTGCAGCTCATTCCTCTATGCCCTGTTTTTTTTTTCCTGGTCTGGTGGGGACTGAGAGCAACCCCATCATGTTCTCTGGGAAAACTTTACTGCTGTCAGGGAGCTTACAGTCAAGAACCTCCCTTACCAGTCTTTCCTGAGCAGGTGGAGATGCACCTTCTAGCCTGCCTGTTGCTGTGTGATCTCTGTATAAGTTTCTAAAAGAAATTCACAATCAGGCTGAGCTCTTGAGTCAGAGCTGTGCGACCTGGAGTGCCACCTTTGCCTCCTCTGGTAGTCTCATTTTCTGCTCTGGAATTGCAGGTGCCTTTGTGGCAGGGCTGGATGCTGGCCTTGTGTACAATTCCTTCCCCAAAATGGGGGAGCGCTGGATCCCAGATGATCTCTTTGCCTTCTCCCCCATGCTGAGAAATATCTTTGAGAATCCTACAACTGTACAGTTTGATCACAGGATCTTGGTAAGTGCTGTCTTCCTGCTATGTCTGCGCTGCTTCTCAGCTGCCTCCTGCAGCCAAGCTGCTGTCCTCTTTGGGCCGTGGTCCTGTCAGCTTGAATGATATCCAGGGTGTCTGAAGGTCCTGGGAGCGTGTTACCAATTTGCTTCTGCAGAAAGAGGAAGTTTGGCACTCATTTATTTTCAATGTGGTCTCCTTCCTTAAGGATGTCTTCCTCTTGCACGAGTTGCAGACCTTGTTTCTTTGTGTCTCCTTTTCCATAACACATGCTACAGAGCAGGGTAGCCCTCCCTATTGAAATGTCTGGGAAAGTTGTGTGAAATAAAACTTGGAAATCCCGATATTGAATACTTTCTCCAGCATTTCTGAACATGCTTTACACCAGTAGTGCCCTGTGAAAACACCTCAGCTAGTTAGAGCAATCCAGATAGTAAATACCACTGCCGGCACTGCTGTGGACTAAGCCATCACTAAGACTGAAACAAAAGATGAAGTGACTTAGAAGAGAAATCAGCTGGGCTGACCTGCATGGCAAGATTATGCTGGTGAGCTACAGCTGAACAGTGAAAATTAATCAGCTTTCCAGATGACAGCTTCCACCTGTAGCTGGCAAGGTGACAGATGGGGAGAGCGCAGAAATAATCCCTAATGACTTGAAGAAAGAGGAAAAGCTGTTGGAAAGTAAAGCATTAATTTGGAGAAAAACGTAACTCTCCGTAAGTTTAAATTCCAGGGTTGTTAACCCCTCAGGCATGGGAGCTCCAGGATTTAGCCATGGCCATTAACATGTTTCTACAGTTAAATACTGCTCACAGAATTTCTTTTACTGCGTGGAAGGCACAGCCGAAGGCCTCTGCACCTATTTCCTTTGAACTTTTATTGGAAAGGTGCTTGTTTCTCTTCCCTTCTGTAGGGAATTGCCTCAGTCACAGCTGTCACAGCACTGTACCTCTTCTCGCGGAAGATCCCACTCCCTCGCAGGACCAGGATGGCAGTGACTTCCTTACTGGCTGTAGCTTGCATGCAGGTACTGTCTCTTTTTTTCCCTTCTATTTTTTTTTTCCTCCCTCATGTCCTCTGTAGCACGTTCACAAGACAGAGCTGTCCCCAGCTCCAATCTGTGCTGGTCCCAAGAGCCTGGAGCTGAGAGATGGAGCTGCCTAGACCTGGGGCCTCACCATATTGCGTGCACAGTCTGAATTTGAGGGTGGGAAGTCTGGCTGTGGCCATGGGCCTTTACATCATCCTGTGTGCTGGGGATGTGTATCAGCGCTGCATCCACAGCTGCTCTTACCCCTTCTCCCTCCTTGGCAGGTGGGCCTGGGCATTGGCACTCTGCTGCTCTACGTCCCCACGCCGCTGGCCGCCACGCACCAGTCAGGCTCCCTGGCGCTGCTCAGCATGGCACTCTGGCTCATGAGCGAGCTCCGGCGGGTCCCCAAGTAACCGGTCGGAGAGAGAGCCCTCTCGGGGGAGCCGCACCGCTGGGGCCGGAGGCGGCAGAGACACGCCGAAAGACCCCGGGTGCACGGGGGGGGAACGGGCGCCCAGCCGGGCTGTGCGCAGGGAGGAAAGCGGCGGCGGGTGTGAGTGCGAACTTGATAACATAAAGGAGTTTTTACGGAGCGGCTGGTGTCTGGCTGGGCGCCTCCTTTCCGGAGCGAGGTGAGGAAGGACGTGGGGACCCCCGGCGGCTGCGGGCGGTAGAGTGCCGGGCCGCGCCGCCGCGGCGACGGGAGGGTGGCCGGGCTCCCTTTGGCGCCCCCTGGCGTCGGCCCGGCGTACGCCCGCCTTCGCGTCTCCGCCAATGGGAGGCGGCGGTGGCGCCTTCGCGCCGCGCTCCGCCCGCCGATTGGCCGCCGCGCGCGGCAGTGGGCTGAGCGGCATCCGGTGCGGCGGCTGTCGGGCTGTCGGTGCGGAGCGGAGCGGCCATGACGGCGCACAGCTTCGCGCTGCCGCTTGTCCTCTTCTCCGCCTTCTGGGGCCTCGTGGGCATCGCCGCCCCCTGGTTCGTGCCCAAGGGGCCGAACCGCGGGTGAGTGGCGGTTACCGGGGGCGGGGGGGTGGATCCGGGACCGGGCCTCACCGACCTAACGCCGGTGTCTCCGCAGGGTGATCATCACGATGCTGGTCACCACCGCCGTGTGCTGCTACCTCTTGTGAGTACCGCGAACCAGGCCCCGCTGCCGCCCCACCCCCATCCTCCGGTGTGGCTTCACGGGGCCCGGGAGCTGCTGCCCAGCCTCCTGCCCCTGGATGAACGGGACAGCCCCCGGGCTGCGGCCTGCCTCCTCCCTCCCGGGGCAGCAGTCCTCCTGCCCAGCCCCTTGAGGCAGCAGCATCCCGGGATCCTGGTCCCTGACTCAGGGCTGACAGCAGGTTGGGTCCCTTTGCAGCTGGCTCATCGCCATCCTGGCCCAGGCCAACCCCTTGTTCGGGCCGCAGCTGAAGAACGAGACCATCTGGTACGTGCGCTTCCTCTGGGAGTGAGCTGTCCCCAGGAGCCAGGACCTGAACAGAGACCCCCCCCCACAGTCGTCACCGTGAGTGAGCAGAGAGCTGGGGGGGGCAGAGGTGTCTCTATTTGCCTGCCTGTGTTTGGCCGGGGAAGGAGCTGCAGTCTGGTCCTTGCCGGGTGGGAGACGCTTTGGCTTTTGTGCATGGTGGCTGTGGTGAGCTGGTCTCAGCACAGGACTGCTGGCTCTGCGCTGAGCAAACCGAGCACTTCCCTTTGAGTCTGTGGTTCTCCAGGTTTGTGGGGGCTCCCTTGTGGGTGCAGTTTGGTGCTAATTTCTCCTTTCTCCTTCCCCCAGCTCTTGCTGCTGTTCCAGCCTCTACTTTCCCATACCAGGCAGCCCCCCAGAGGTGCTGGGACAGAGGCTGGACCTGCTGCCCTAGCACACCCTGAGCACTGCGACCTAGACCAAGGATGGCTGGGCCCCCGAGCATGGCAGGTATCACCCCTGCCTGGGATGAGGGCCCAGTAAGCCCAGCCCTGGGAGCAGCCATGCTACCAGGGAGCGATCCTCTCAGCTGGCAGAGTGCTGCAGTCACTGACATTGAGCACTGTCCTGGGAGAGATCTGTGTGTAGTGCCAGCGGATCCTGTCCCTGCAGTGCTCACCCTGCTCCCTCCAGTGCGCTCAGTCCTAGCCCCGCCAAGTGGAACCCCTGCTCCCAGCCCAAGCTGCCCACCTAGTTACCGTATCCCTGGTCATTTCAGGCACTGGCTGCCCCTCTGCCTGGAAAGGCAGGAGCCCATAGCATCTTCTGTTGTATGGTCAGTCCCCTGGGGTGATGGTGGTCATTGCTAAGACAGATTCTGGCCATGGATTTGAGGAGGGAGGGCTGATCCTGGAGGACGCCCTGGGTGTGATGAGATAGGTGCTGGGGTGCAGGGCAGGGGGTTCTGATGCTTGGCAGCCTGCTAGAGGGGATTAAGGGGTGCTGCATCTCCTTCCACCTCAGCAGTGAGGGTGCTGGAATAGTGTCTAGGTACCGCCACCGCCCCAACCTCTGTCCAGGTTCTGAGAAGAACTGAGTAGGGCATTGTGTTTTAGGTTTCCCCTTATTTATCAGATAATTTGTCTGTATTTATTTATTTGTCTGTGTTTGTTAAATTTGTGTTGTGGAAATAAATCCTTTTTCTAATAAGTGATGCTGGAGGCAGAGTCATGTGCTGCTTTGAGGCTGAAGAACAGTCTTGACTTTATTCAGACTTCTTCCCTTCCCCCTAAGCCTGCTCTTGCACCATGAGAACAAGGCTGGGATCTTCAGCTGTTGAGCAGGAGGTTGACAGCACACTCTATGGCAAATTTTATCCTTGATACCACCTATGCACTCATCCTGTGGGACCAGGGTCACAAGTAGGCTGTGCTAGAGGGAGAATGGGGAACCTGCCCCAGCCTCTCCTGTGGTAGGCAGCTGTGCTGGGGCCATCCCCATGGCTCTGCAGCAGCTGGAGAAGCTTGGTGGCCCCTTTCCTTGGCAATAATGTAAAAAGCAGGGAGCAACATATTCCAGGGACTGAGTGTGCTGACTCAACTTCCTTGTCTTAGGAGGAGGGCAGCAAAAGATGCTGTCTCCAAGGATCACAACGGTTCCGTTTGGATCAGAGCTTCCCTTGTTACCAGCTCAGGAGTTGAGCTCATCTCTCATTCTGCTGGAGTCACAGAGATCAGCTGCTGGCAAAAACAAGTCCCTCAACCCACCATGGTGGCACAAAGCAATGCTGTGCAGACAGGCGCTGGCCCCTGGTCATGCTGCCAGCCAGGAGCTGTTGCTGCTGGGGAGGTTCTTGCTAGAAAACAAGACCAGTGCTGGATGGCTCAAGGGGTTTGTTTATTGCTACAGGAATGGGAACAGCTGAGTTCAAGTAAAGTGACAAACTTCATTGGGTCATCATGGGCTCCAGGGCAGGGGAAGGCTTGTGCCTGTGCACACAGCCAGAGCCCCAAGCTGCCTTGGGGCAGAGCTGGGCCCCAGTGACGCGGTTGCCCCCTGGGCAGGCCCAGCCTGCGCTCACCGCTCACGGGGGAGAGAACTACAGGTCCTGGTGCTAGTGCCTGATTACTGTGTGGGACACCACGGGACAAACGTGCCCAGGAGGGAATGTACAAAAGGAAAGGCAGCCCACTTTAGTGCCTTAGGAACCAAGCCTTGAGCCCTCCGGGCTGAGCTTGGGATGTTGGCTAGGACCAGAGGAGGATTGTCCAAGGAGGGGAAGACATGGCAAAGAGCAGGACACCTCTTAATGCTCCAAGAGGGGCCGGGCTGGGCAGAGCAGCTTGGTGGAACTCATGGCTCACCTGGTTCCTGCAGTAATTTCGCTGGTGACTGCTGTTCTCCAGCCCCTGGGCTTGTAAGGGAGTGAGGAAAGGCCACCCCCGCTGATGAGCTACAGCACCTCACCAGCCTGCTCTGCAAACGGGTGACTGAGTCGGGGGGTGGCCCAGTGCTTCAGGTTCACAGCCCTGGGGCGGCCCCCTTGGTGATAGTGCTTATCTGAGGGCCTTGCCAGGGCTCCAGCCTTGAGCCTGATGGCAGCAGAGGACTTTGCTCTACACCGCCTAGCAAGGCAAAGGTCAGAGGCCAAGGAATGCAAAGATTAGGACTGGGGCGAGGCAGAGGAAAGCTCTGGTGTCTGTAGCTCCCTCAGCCCCCAGGCTCTGGTTCTGATCAGATGATGGAGTGCAGAGTTGAGATGGTCTTTAAAAAAGAGTCCAAGCCCTTGGAGTCCAGGCTGTCAGCCAGTCCTGGTTCTGATGATATGAGTGGACAGTGGGTACCACCAGTGTCAGGGCCCGTTTCCCTGGCCCGGCTGCACCACCACTTTGTCCAACCAGAGCAGGGTGAGCTGGGCCAAGCGCAGCTGCCGGTGGTGGATGTGGCGCAGCCGCAAGAGGTAGAGGACTATGGCCAACACTACAACCAGGATGCAGGCGAAGAAGATATAGTGGTTGTAGACAAAAGAGAGGCGCAGCCAGGAGGTGTGTGCTTGCCGGATGCTCTCCTGACGGAGATCCCTGGTGAGAGGAGAGTCAGGACGGGCTGTGAGATATCATGGGGCACTACCAGGGTCCGTACTGCCACTCCCCTTGCTTGGGGTGGCAGAGCCCTCACCCGGTGCAGTAACTTCTGCTTCTACCCAACCACCCTTCCCCTGAGTGATGCCATCAGCAAGCCAATGGTACCTGAGTGGCAGAAACCGCGTCTTGTAGAGGATGGCTCCCAGCGTCCACTGCACCTCCCGGTCGTACACCAGCTGGGCCGTGCGCAGGCTGGGGTAGTCCAGGGGAAAACGGAAGCCCTGGTGAAGGACTTGGTACATCCAGGCCGATTTGAAGCACTGATACCTGCGGGCACGGCACGCGGGAGCATCAGCCAGACGCTGCCACCTGCACCACTGTCCCTTACCCTAGCGAAAGCCCCCACAGGAGGTGCGGCCACGGCACCTCCCCAGCAAAGCCGCTTACTTCAGCCGGTGCTGGTCAGCATGCGCCGAGTAGAGGCCACCACGGAAGCGCTGGGTCAGCACCTCCCATCGCTGCCTGCAGTACTCCTGGGGGACAGGGAAGTCAGGGCTCAGAGCAGAGAAACGGCCTCCATTCCCTCCCAGCCCCAGGAATAGCAGCTCCCCAGCCCCCAGACTGAAACAGCACCCACCTGGGCAGCGGAGGTGAAGGTGGGGGCACTGTAGCGGCCCCCTAGGCGCAGCACATCCTCAGTGCAGTAGAAGAACTCGGAGAAGCCATAAAACTCGCTGTTGCTGAAGTCGATGGGTGCTTTGTAGGCCCCCACCAGGGAGGCCTGGCTGCTGTTGGGGCTGGCCAGGAGGGGCTGCAGCAGCTCTGCACAGGCCGGCCAGTCCCCTCGCCCCCGCACGTACAGGCTTTGGCCACCCCTCGCCACCGTGTCCTCCAGCCCCACGGGCAGGCAGGGGTCCAGGAAGGGCGTCTCGGGGCTCAGCCCTGTTTGCTGGCCATGGAGGCTGGAAAACAGACCAGGAAGGAAAGGCAACTGCGTGAGGAGGCCTTATACCACCCCCCAAAAAGCCTGGTCTAGCACTGTCCCACATCCCAGGCACCTGCGGGGTGCAACAAGGCACAGCCCATCCCAGCCAGCTCACAGGGATCTGCACCCCTGCACAGCCCCCAGGGACCTCGAGGCAAGGTTTGCTCCTGGCACAGGAGTACCTGGGCACCAAGCCTCTCCACCTCTGGCAACAGCTTCACGTAGCACTCTGGGAAGGGGAGACAGGAGACAGAGAGCTCGAGGTGGGGATGCAACGGAAAGATGTGCAGAGTGAACCGGTGCTGGAGAAGGAGGGAAAGTCAGAGCAGGAGAAACAAAAGTCACCAGAGGGGCCTCCCCAGAGCCTGCTGTGAGGGAAAGAGGAGGAAGGCAGGGAGCTGTGGCACTGATAATGCCTGCAGGGCTCAGCAAAGGGCAGTGCCCATGAACCCTGTGCCAGCCCAGGCATCTGCTGCTGCCACACAGCTGCTGCCAGCGTGGCTGTGGGATCTCTTATCACCACAGGCAGCTCTTGGGTCATATCCAACGAAGAGACGTCAGAATGAAGGAATCAGCACCCCGTTTCACAATACCCCAAGCAGGGGCACTGCTAGGCAAGGCAGCAATACCGGTTGTGCACATAGGTATGGTTCAGCACAAGTTCCTCGTAGCGCTGCCGGGCAAAATTGCCCCCGAAGCCCAGGAAGGTGTTGACATAGACACGGTACACGTGGCCAGTGTGCTGCACGTCGCAGCCCAGGTTGAATTCTGCCAGCAAGCTCTTAGCAGCCTCCTCCTGGGGACGCAGAGAGGTCTGTGATCAGCAGCGAGCCACTGAAGGCAGCAGCTGCTCTCAGGGTCAGCCGGCCAGATACACACCTGCTGCGGAGAGGAAAAGGCTCCGGAGTCGGGCACTTCGTAGGCGATCTGCAGAGAGGCACCCCCCATGTCCAGGATCCCAACTGTTCGTTTCCGAACCAGGGACTCTCCCTGGTCCCCCAGCGCTACAGTGACCACCGCGTCCTCCTCTGCAACCCACAGCAGCGTGTCAGCAAGGGGCAGGGTCTGGGGTGGCATCTCCTCCCTTCCACTGTTACCCCCACAGCAGCCTTGTGGGGCTTCTCCACCCCCGCAAGCAGCCCCCCAAGGATCATTGCAAGGCAGCAGGTCCTAGTACTCAGGGCTGGCTGCCCCCTGGCTTTGTGGGTTCCCCCAAAGGATCCATCACTGGAAACCACTACAGGAACACTACTACAAACACTCTCTCCCTCATTCTTCTCCCAAAATTCTGCAGGCATCCCCCTTGCACAGGGACTTGTTCCTGTTACCGGGGCAGGTGCCCCTCCAGGTCCCAGGTCCAGGAGAGTTTCACATGCATGGCTGGGGTGAAGCATTGCCTGGCCAGAGGGGCAGACTCTGCCTGCTCCAGAGCTTGCTCTTAGCTCCAGCAGGGCTCTGCTCAGACCCTCCCAGCTGCACTACAAGCAGCCAGACTCACCGTCCTCATGATCAAACCGGCCCAGGACAAAGTTGATGCCGATCCAAGCATAGACACCTGCACGAGACAGAAAGGGCCGTTACGGCAATATACGAAAGGGAACGAAGCAGTGTTTTGTGGCAGCTCCTACCTTCCTGTTTCCCTGAGATCACTTCTGCATGTGATTTAGAGAAGAGGAAATCAAACTCCAGGGGCACGTTTCTCACCAAGTCCTCCAGGATTGCAGCTTGCTGTCTGCAAAGGTGCAGGAGAAGGACGGATTGCTAAGGGACCTTCACCAGCGTGAAGCTTGTGAAAGAGCAAGAGACAGCAGGAATCCCACTGCAATACACCCCATATCCAGCCCCACGAGCCCTCCTGCTGCACCCAACGCGCTTTGGAGATGAGAAACTAGGTCTATCCATCTGAGACTTCAGTGAAAAGCGTCCCTTCTTGGTTCCCTCAAAAACTTCCTTCTGCAGCTCTTGCCACTCGCCCCCAAAACACACCCTTTCCCTTCTCAAGTCCATGTTCCCCCACCCCCACCACAGGATTCCTAATTCTCCCATTAGGTCCAAGATGAGGTAGCTGTCTTCCCCCTCCTCATGGCTGAGGGATCCCAGCGGGTCCTTAGCTCCCTCCAACAAGGACCAACAGAACTCACCTCTCGGGCAGCAGCCGCATACCTGCGGTGCACAGGATATAAAGTGGAGTTTCCTTGTGCTTCTGAGCCGGGACGTGGGCTGCCGCAAACTGAAGCAGAGGGCGCAGGTAGGGCGTCGCTTGCTCGGGGGCTGCCGCTGCCACGGAGATGCCTGACCCGGGGTGGGAGGCCGTGAGCCAGCCGTACCCGTCCTGTGTGCCCTGGGGGGGGGCCTCGGGGCTGGGAGCGGAGAGGGGTGACACCAACCTGGCTTAATTTTCTTGACGACGGGGTGGCTGCTCCGGTCCCTCATCTGCTTAATGTCCAGCAGGTCGTGGGGGTTCCCGTTGTGCGGGGGCCAGAAGTAGACAAAGACCCGGGACCCGCTGCTCCCACAGTCGATGACCACTCCGTAATTCAGGGCCGAATCCTCGGTGTCGGTGGCCGTCAGCTCCTCCGCCCGCGCCAGGTACCTGGGGCCCCGAGCAGGGCGGGGAGGGGGGGAGGGCACAGGGCACCTCAGCACCGGCGGGCAGCGGCAAGCCCCGGGCCCCCAGCAGCCCCCCGGCCCCGCTCACCTCTCGCCGCGCCGGGTGGAGCGGGACGGCGCGGCCCAGCGGCGAGGAACGGTAGCCACCAGCAGCAGCAGCAGCAGCAACCCCACGGCGAGGGCCAGCCCCAGCACCGCCGGGCGCTGCCGCGGGCACGGGCAGGGTCCGGGTCCCGCCGGGCGCCGCGACAGGCAGAGAGCGCCAATTCTGCGGGCAGAGGCCACAGCTCAGCACCGACCATGGCACGGCACGGCCCCGGCCCCCCAGCCCAACCCCGCTCACCTGGCCATGTGCGCCCGCCGCCGCCTGCCCGCGCATCGCCCCGCGGCCGGCACCCGCAGCCGGCACCGGCGGCCACGTCACCAGGAGGCCCCGGCGCGGCCAATAGGGGCCCCCGTAGCCGAGCCCCGCCGGGCGGCGCCCCGCCCCCCTCGGCCGCGGAACCCTATCGGCCCCCGCCCCATCCCGGCGGAGCCACGCCCCCTCGGCCCGGAGGCCAATCCCGACGGAGCGGCGCCCCCAGGCGGCCGGAAGCGGTGTCCGGCTTCGCCCTTGCTCCCGCGCCCGACCTTCGCCGGGAGACGTCACGCAGAAACTTCCCCCCACGCGCCCTATCGCGGCCTCCCTGCCGCCCGCGCCCAGCCAACCCGCGGCGACCAAATAAACAACACGCGCCCGGTGCCGGAGTGGCGGGCGAGGCGACCAATGGTGGCTCCCTGGCCCCGCCGAGAGGAGCGGCGGGCGAGCCAAAGGTCGCGGGCTCGCCGTCCAATGGGCTGCGCGGCTGGGCGGGGCGCGAAGTTGAGGCAGCCAATGAGCGGTGCGGAGCGGCAGGGCGGGGAGTCCCGGCTGCCAACGGGCAGCGCTCCCGAGCGCTCCGGAGGGAGCGGCCGGCCGGCGGCGGCGGCCAATGAGCGCGGGGCGCGGGGATTGGCGGGCGGCGGGCCGAGCCAGTAGGCGCGCGGCGGGGGCGGGTGGCGGGCGGGGGCGGCCAATGAGTGCGGTGGGACGGGGCGGGGCGCGAGCCGGGGCGGGGCGGGACGGCGCGGGGCCCGGGCGGCGGCGGCGGCGGCGGCGGCGGCGGCGCCATGGAGCTGGGGGCGGGCGCGGGGGCGGGCGCGGGCCCCGGTGCGCGGGGCGGCGCGGAGTCGGGCCGCGTCCTGCTGCTGCTGATGGGCGGCGGCGGCGGCGGCGCGGGCCGAACGCGGCGGGGCGGTGCGGGGGCGGAGGCGGGGCCAGGTCCCGGGGCCGGCCCGGGGGGGCCCGAGGCGGCGCGGGGCCCCGAGCCGCGGTCCTCGCCCGCCCCCGACTACGAGGCGTTGCCGCAGGGCGCCGCCGTCTCCACGCACATGCTGGCGGGCGCCGTGGCGGGCGTCATGGAGCACTGCGTGATGTACCCCGTCGACTGCGTCAAGGTGCCGGCACCGGCGGCGGGGCAGGGCGGGGCGGGGAGGCGGGCGGCAAACCGGGGCCTACCGGGGAGGGAGGCGGGAATTCGCCCGGCCAGGCCCCGCGGGGGTGACGGGCCGCCCGCCCGGGCCTTGTGTTCCAGACGCGGATGCAGAGCCTGCGGCCGGAGCCCGCCGCCCGCTACCGGAACGTGCTGGAGGCCCTGTGGCGCATTGCCCGCACCGAGGGCGTCTGGCGGCCCATGCGGGGCATGAACATCACCGCCACCGGCGCCGGCCCGGCCCACGCCCTCTACTTCGCCTGCTACGAAAAGTTAAAAAAGACGCTGAGCGACATTATCCACGCAGGGGGCAATAGCCATGTGGCCAACGGTACTGCTCCCCATGCCCCCCACGGGGGGCCACGGGGGCCGCCTACCCACCCACCCACCCACTACGCCGGGGTGGGGAGCGGGGTGGGGAGAGGCTGAGCTTTTGGCGGTAGGGAGGTCTGGTCTGGTCCCGCTCGGCTGCAGGGGTTGGGTTGCCACGGATGTCCTAAAGCCCTGTGCTCTCTGCAGCCGCCGGCCAGCTGCGCGGTGCCCCAGTGCCACGCCGGCGTGGTGCCGGGAAGGGGGGAGCACCAGTTCTGCGCCTGCCGGAGCTGCCCCCAGGTATCTGGCTTGAAGCAGGTTAGTGGCCCCGGCTCGGAAGGATGCCGGTGGACGGGAGCTGCCTGCAGATGAGCCAGGACCGGCTGCAGCCCCCTGTGTTGATGGTGCCAGAGCTCGCCCCAAGGAGTGCTGCGTGGTTTCGGAGCCAGTCTTGCCATGGTGCCCATTCTTCGTCTCGTGGAGCCGCTGCGGAGGGGAAAGCATGGGGCTGAGGGGAGAGCAGGGCACGTCCCACCTTAGGCGGGCGTGCAGCGAAGCGCTGCCAGGTTTCTCCTCCTCCACGGGTCATGGGGACGCTTGCTGTCCTCTCGGCCCCTGCCAGCTGGTGGCATTGGCCTGTCCCCTGAGAGCTGGGCCCCCGTGAGTCCCAGTGAGCCCGTGGGACTTGACAGCCTGTTGCAATCCTCTCCCTCTCTTGAGCTCTCTCTGGGTGGGAACTGCTGAGGACCGGCCCACCTCTTGGAGGGGAGATGGAGGCCGCATTCAGATCTCGGCCTTTTCCAGGGGCTTCCTCCTGTGCCTCGATGGGGGACTCGGGGCTGTGGTAGAGCCCCGGGGTCCCTCACCTTCCCCCCCTCATATCTGGCAGTTCTTGTTTTGCAGGTGCAGCCGGGTGTGTAGCAACGTTGCTCCACGATGCAGCCATGAACCCTGCCGAAGGTAACGATGGTCCTGGCCTGCTGGGGAGGGGAGGATCGGGGGCTGCCTGTGCCACTCGGGTCCCTTCTGCAGCACGGAGGGTGCTCCCATTGCTCGCCTGACCAAGGATCCTTTGGGGGTCAGTGGCTGTGGCTCCAGTTAGGGAGCCCAGTGGCTGCCTGTTATGGAAGGGGTAGGTAGAAGAGATTAATTTTGGGGAGCACAGCAAACCCCGGCTTAAGAGGAGCTGGGAGGGTGCCAGCCTTTCGCCCATGGGTTTGGTTGGTGACAGTTACCTGGAAAAGGCGAGAGAGACACCATCCATGCTGTGCAAGTCATTCCAAGTGTGTGAAAATTGGGTGTTGCTGTGGTGAGATCTTGGGAAGATACGGTATGGTTCTGGGCCTGTGTTCAAGAAGAAAATGGAAAGAATGAGGATACCAAAAGCATGCTAGAGAAGTCAGAAGAAGGGATATCTTGTGTTGTGGAATGTCTGGAAGATACTGATTTTGTTGAGCCTGATACATATGAAAATGTCAGAGGGAGTTTTTAATTAAAATCTGTGAATGTGGTGGGAGAAGGAGGAATAACGAAGAAAGGCCAGTCATGAATTTATTTTTTCCTTTTAAAACTGGAAGGCTCATGACAGCACAGGCTCCAGCTGATCTGGTCCCAGCAAGGCTCCTGCCTGCCCGCTGCCTGGCTCAGGCCCTGAGGAGCTGGTAGCTGTGTGGCCAGACCATTGTCATTCCGTCCCTGAAGCTTGTCTTCTTACCGTGACTATGCTAGTTTGTAATCGCGTCGTTTTTAGCTCCTTGTGGTCACGGTGAGATATGGGGAGGCAGGACAGCAGCAGGCTGCGCTCTGGGCTGCCCTGCTCTTGGGTGTCAGAGGGGTGGGTTGGCGTTTGGTTCTTGCCCCAGAGTAGCTGGGTTTTGGCAGTAGCTGCTAACAGTTCCTGGCTGGTGGGCTCTGCAGTGTGCTGTGGTTATTCTGGGCTGCAGCGGGGGCAGCTGGGGAGGGACAGGCTCATCCAGATCAAGATCTGTCTGGAAACTAAGAGAATAGATGCCGAGGGGGTTCTCCTGGTGGCTCTGCGGTGGTGGTTGGGGAGATGTCAGTCACTTGGGAGCAAGGGTGGATCTGGAGCATAAGCGCCTGGGTATCAGGATGTTCCCTGGGGCTGCAGCAGCTGCACGGCTTGCAGGTGGTGATGTCTGTGCGATGGTGATGCCTTGGCAGATCTAAATGGCTGCGGTCCTGCCTGAGGACACACAGGGCACTGCTGGTCCGAGTTGTCCATCATTGGCTCTTAAGCCAGTGTGACCAAACTCTGGGCACTTGGAGAAAGCCTGGCTTTGCACTTACCCTTTCTCTCTCCTCTTCCTCTCTGCGCCTGGGTCCTGGCTCTGCTGCTGGCTGCCACTGTCTGTCCCAAGTGGTTAAACAGAGGATGCAGATGTACAACTCGCCTTACCAGCGTGTGACGGACTGTGTGCGGGCTGTGTGGCGCAACGAAGGGGCCGGAGCTTTCTACCGCAGCTACACCACCCAGCTCACCATGAACATCCCCTTCCAAGCCATTCACTTCATGACCTACGAGTTCTTGCAAGAGCAGCTCAACCCCCACAGACAATACAACCCAAGCTCCCATGTGGTCTCCGGAGCCTGCGCGGGGGCTGTTGCTGCCGCTGCCACTACACCTTTGGACGTTTGTAAAACACTGCTCAACACCCAGGAGTCCCTGGCCTTGAGCTCCAACATCAGTGGACACATCACAGGCATGGCCAATGCCTTCAGGACGGTGTACCAAGTGGGCGGTGTGACCGCCTACTTCAGAGGGGTCCAGGCGAGAGTCATTTATCAGATGCCCTCAACGGCGATCGCCTGGTCCGTGTACGAGTTCTTCAAATACATCCTCACCAAGCGCCAGGAGGAGCGGCGAGCTGGGAAGTGAGCCAGAGCCAAACGCCGTTCCAGACCTGCTTTACCTCCCCTCCTGGTTTGTCTTCTGACTCCTCTCCCTTTCAGTTTGGTTTCTGTTGAAGAGAGGGAGCAGCGAAGTGAAACCCTTCTGGGTTTATCGATGTCTTTTTTTTGCCTGTGGCCGCTGCAGCTCTGCTCAGGCTGCACAGCTTGCTCTCTCCCCCGGGTCCTCCGAGATGTCCCACTGGGAGCTGCAGCCCAGGTCATGTCCCCTGGCACTTCTGTGGAGCTGTGCTCCTGTCCTTCCCTTAACCAAAGCCTCCTCTCATGCAAAGCTCGCCCCTCATCGGAGGGGAAGGTGAATGTCCTGCCCTGCCACTGGCAGGGCCAAGCTGAGCTCGCAGTCGCCGGGGAGGGGGCAGTGGCGGCAGCGCTGCCCGGGATGCTGCGGGCTCTGTCTGGCTCTTGGCTGAAGCAAAGTATAAGCCTTGCCGTTGTCTTGTAGCACGCACACATGATGCTGACTGCCCTGATGGTGGTGGGTGAGGGGGAGGATGGCACTTGAGGAGGGGAGCCTGTAGGTTTGTTATTGTTCCTGCTCTTGACACCTCCAATAAAAACAGTTCTGCTCTATCCTCACGTCCCCTTCTTACTCCCGCGCAGCCCAGCTCCCAGCACCGCTCCTCTCTGACTCTGCTCGGTGCTGAGCTCTTGACGAGTGCCAAGGCAGAAGGGAAACGGGGTCTGGGGGTGACAGTGGGATGAGGGGGCCTGCTTGGCCCGGCCACCCTGGCA